AAAAAAACTTCTTTGTGGAGGATGCAAACTGTGTATTGTGGACGGAAGTCACCAATGAAACATTGTTGCACCTTTTCTACACATGAGACATTAGTCAAAACTCTTGGTGGAGCCTAGAATTTGAATGGTGTAATGACCTTGATAATGGTGACATGTTCATTGAGGCCAAATTGAGATAACTCTTACTATTATTTACTCATTTTTTTACAGAAGTCTAAATAAAAAGGAGATAGTTGGTATTCTTCTGTGGATTGATACGTCTCCGTCGTATCTACTTTTCCAAACTCTTTTACCCTTATTTTGGAGTCTAATTTGCATGATTTGAATGGGAATAACCGGACTGACGCTGTTTTCAGCAGAATTGTCTTGGTGTTATTTTTGTGCAAAAATAGAAGTTCTTGGAATGTCCTGAAACTTCGCGGAGAATATTTTTGGAATAAATAAAAATATTGGCGAAAAAATCAACAGACAGGGACCCACCTGCTATCCACAAGGGTGCAGGGTGCGCCCAACCCCTAGGGCGTGCCCCCCTACCTTGTGGGTCCCCGGGACCTCCACAGACGTCAATTCAAACACCATATATTCACGTTCGGGGAGAAAAAATTCAAAGAGAAGGATTCATTGCGTTTTACGATCCTGAGTTGCCGTCACCTCCTGTTCTTCATCAGGAGGCCAGATCTGGAGTCCATTCGGGGCTCCGGAGAGGGGAAATCGTTGCCATCATCATCACCAACCTTCCTCCATCACCAATTTCATGATGATCACCGTCGTGCGCGAGTAATTCCATCGCAGGCTTGCTTGACGGTGATGGGTTGGACGAGATTTACCATATAATCGAGTTAGTTTTGGTAGGGTTTGATCCCTAGTATCCATTATGTTCTGAGATTGAGATATTGCTATGACTTTGCTATGCTTAATGCTTGTCACTAGGGACGAGTGCCATGATTTTATATCTGAACCTATTATGTTTTCATGAATATATTTGTGTTCTTGATCCTATCTTGCAAGTTATAGTCACCTACTACGCATTATGGTCCGACAACCTCGGAGTGACAATAGTCGGGACACTTCCCGGTGATGATCGTAGTTTGAGGAGTTCATGTATTCACTAAGTGCTAATGCTTTGGTCCGGTTCTCTATTAAAAGGAGGCCTTAATATCCCTTATTTTCCATTAGGACCCCGCTGCTACGGGAGGGTAGGACAAAAGATGTCATGCAAGTTCTTTTTTATAAGCACGTATGACTATATACGGAATACATGCCTACATTATATTGATGAATTAGAGCTAGTTCTTTGTCATCCTAGGTTATAACTGTTGCATGATGAATGACATCCAACATAATTATCGATCATTGATCCATTGAATACGAGTTTTTCACATATTGATCTTTGCTACGTTACTTTGTCGTTGCCACTATTGCAATTGCTACGAAACTGGTACTATTACTTTTGTCACTGTTACCGTTACTTCCATACTACTTTGCTAATAAATACTTTGCTGCAGATAATAAGTCTTTCAGGTGTGGTTGAATTGACAACTCAGCTGCTAATACTTGAGAATATTTTTTTGGCTCCACTTGTGTCGAATCAATAAATTTGGGTTGAATACTCTACCCTCGAAAACTGTTGTGATCCCCTATACTTGTGGGTTATCGTGGATATATGATAATATTGAAAAATATCATCTGCTTCCCTTGTAAAGTTATCATGCAAGTATATATTTTATATGTGAAGTGGTTCTCAACATTTCCACACGGATGAGCTTTAGACAAGCTATTGCGGAAACACAAAGATAGCTACAAAGCATTTAGTTTATTCGGATGTATGGAGTGGTGATCGAGCATATTGATCCAAGAATTCAAGTGATGAGGCAGCCTTTAACCCTATAGCATCGTTGGCTCCGGCATGTATTGTAGATTTTGCACTATTTCCAATGCAATGAAGTGCATGAAGCATGCCTATAGATAGTTGAGCAACTAACAAATTAATATTGCATTTTTCGCAGCCAAGTGAGATCATGCAGTACCCGATGCATCTCAAGCTCAAGGCTTGATTTGTGTTGGTCCACACACATATCAAGCTTTAAAGCATCTGATAACATTATATATCTCGTCATTCCTTGCTTCTTAGATCTATCATAGTAGTCATCCTCACATTTGCTCTATGATGCCTATTATAACATGAGAACCACCTCTTACATTATCGTGGTGGTGGTGTTCGGGGTGGGTGGGTGGCACTACCCACTCTAGCTCAAATCCGGGTGCTCAAAACAATATTGTATGGGTGTCGCAGTCAGTCCTCCTATAAATAAAAAGGTGCATGTTATAAGGTGGCACTAGTGCAGAACCGGCCTTTAGTGCCGGTTCTCCAACCGGCACTAAAGAGTGGGGATTAAAGGTCCCCCCCTTTAGTACTGGTTCGTCACGAACCGGCGCTAAAGTGCGAACACGTGGCACGAGCCAGGCCCGAGCGCGCGTAGGGCTTTAGTACCGGTTGGTAACACCAACCGGTACTAAATGTTTGGGTGTTTTTTTTCATTTTCCATTCCAGTTTTTTTTGTTTGCTGGTATTTCACGATACTACAAATTGTACACGTTATGCATATATATAAATAGATTTTCTCGTACG